CTGGGTCAGGATTTCTCACCTTCGGCCAATCCCCAATCCTTCTCAGTTAACTTCAACAGTCCCTACCACACACTGTCAGAAAGCCTAATGGCTAACTTCCCTACACATTCTGTCTGGTGCTGTGTGGAGTGCCTTTGCCACTCTGAAACCACACACACACTTTTATGACATTTTCAAATACCCCAACATCCTACTTTGTAGAAACCTTTAACTCCACACCACTGATGGCGCTAGACATCATTTTCCTCTACCAATCTCCTTTATCCTCCTTTGAATCTGTAGTCTCTTGCACACTCTTTCTAATAAGAGCACAGAAATAAAAATATCTGATCCAGTAAGCAACTATATTTCTTCTTTTTACATTCAGTTAGTGAAAAATCAGAAAACTACTACACCCACGACTTTTTTGTGATCCACTTACTCTTGCAATTTGGCCTCATACATCGCCATTCCATTGAAACAGGGTTTACAATTATTTTGAGTCATTAAACTCAATAGTCCTAAATCACCACACTATGTGGCACTTATTTTTTCTCTTTCTTCAACACTTGTCCCTTAATCTTATGCAATGACCTGTCTTTACAGTCCCATTTCTTAAATGTGGACCTTCCCCGAAGTTTTAATCCTTAATAGGTTTCTCTTTCTCTCTCTCTCTCCTGCTTCTTTTCCCTCAATATTACTATCTACTTCCCTGACTTTATTTACCATAATATATGAAAAATTCCTATTTGGTATATATCAAGCTGCTCTCGAATTCTAGTCCTATAAGCAATCCAATCCTCAACAAATCCTTCATCTACTGCCACCTAAGCGCACTTTCTCTCTGCACTCATACCCAGTCCAGATTTGAGTCCAGATTTTTATTTCCTATTAAGCATCACGTGCTACCCAATTGGGCCACTAGAGTTACTTGTATTTTCGTCGTCACTCATTACACTTGGGTAAATAATAATTCTTTTGAATCCTGCTGCAGATACTGCTGTACAATTAGATTACCTACCCAAGGAAGTAATTATCTTTCCTGACGTGGCTGTCAGTTTTATTTTTCTAAAGTCTGTGTATGATGAAAACATACTCTGCCTCAAAATCCTTCAAAATTCTTAAATCACAATTGTTTAGCTTAACATTCAGGCTCCTTACAATTTACTTAAAACAGTGGTTCCTAATGCTGTAACCCTTTAATGCAGTTCATTATGTTGTGGTGTCCCCCAACCATAATTTATTTTCTTTGCTACTTCATAACTGTACGCGTCTCTGCATGTGGGCGGACCCGCCTGGAGACGGATAGAGGAACAGTCTCCCCGTTCCTAAGGCCATCAGAAATATGTGCTTTCCGATGGTCTTAGGTGACCCCTGTGAAAGGGTCGTTCCAACCCCAATGGGGTTGCAACCCACAGGGTGAGAACCGCTGAGTTAAAAGCTTCTCTCACTCACTGTGTACCAATTACTGTAGCCACACTGGTCCATTCACTCTTCCCCAAAGTGTCCCATGCTTCATCAGCACTCTTCCTGAGTCAGAAAATCTACCATCAAATTCCAATACTGCTACGGGTTTCCTATGACTAAAACGAAAAACAGGTACCACCATCCTAAACCTACAGGACTCTGGTGGCACAGTGTTAGGCTGGCTGATTTACTGCAAAATCGGTGGTTTGAACTCAGCAGCCGCTCAAAGGTATAGATAGGAGGCTGTCTGCCCTGCAATGGTTTACAGCCCTGAGACATGATGGAGCAGCTCTGCTTTGCCCTGTATGGTCACCACGAGTCAGAACTAACTCAATAGCAGCGAGTGTCTTTGAGCTGAGTAACCTACTTCCCTGGTCAATGGAGGCGGAAATGCCTTCTCTAATGTATTATCATGATGCAATTCTCTGTTCTTAAGTTGATACAAAAAATACATTTGATTGTCATGTACCTCACTTATCAGTCATCATTACCTATCGAAATCTTAACAGCTCTTCAAGAACTACTACAAATCACTTCCATTATCATAACATCTTTTGGTTGAACACAATTTCATTTTTTTAATCACCTAAATCTGTGTATCTCTCTTAAATTTACCAAATTCTATTTTGTATTATAGGGCATCAGAATTTCTTTAAGGTCAGGAATCTTGCATCAATGTATTTTTGTTCAATTTTTTTCAAACAGTTTTGAATAACTGGAATAAAAAAATGCAGTCCCCAAATGACCCCTCACTAATACAACTCCTTACACAACTTTCAAAATACACTACTTAGTGATACTAATGAAGAGTCTCATTTAATACTACGAAACTAAAAGACAAAGTTAAGCAAAGTTGATAATAGAAACAAGAAATGCCTTCTTACTATTCAGAACTTGATTTTTTAAATAAAAGTTTCACTAATTCTCTGGAATTATTTAACTGTTAAATATTATTTCATCCACTTCTATTAATTTTCAAAAAAAAGTTTAAGTCACAGAAAGAAATTATCTTAGGTATGCTTATAACAACATCCCATCCATACCTTCCGATAGTAGCTCTGCCATCGTTTTTCACAGACTGATAAATCTCTCTTTCCTCATCAGAAAGTGTAATATGTTGAATAAACACTTTACGCTCCGGCAGCTCCAAAACAGGTTTCCCTTTAATTTTGCTTGTCTTTGTTCTTCTAAGTGTAATATTCTTAATTAAGGACTGTAAGCGCCTAACCAAAATAAAACAATTATTGAATGCTTTATTTCTATAGAAGTTAATCTGATAAGAATGAAAAGTACTAGTTTCATAATCTTATTGGACATTGCTTTGAAAGCTCTTATTTGGAATTTTAATCCAACCTGATATTTACAATACAAATAAAGTTACTGAGATAGTTTATTGTGCCAGCCTGGCCGATACAGACAAAAATTGATTGAATTCTCCCTTCTCAGCTCAGTACTTATCACACTTCAATCTTGTGTTGCTTTATGTTCTCTGTTTTCTTAAACTCTTGCATTCTCCTTCGGTCATAGTCACCGGTGCTTTAATCTCCAAGTTATCTTGTCAACTCTGTCACTTGACACTCCACACTCAAATTCTTAGTAAACAAAGTACTGCACTAAATATAAGTGTACGAATGCAAATATAAAACATTATCCTCCAGCTTACTGATAATACGGCAATTACATAAACAGTGTCTATGAAGTAACAAGTGCTAAATAAAGCTAAAATGTGACATAAGGATTCAAGAGGGAGAAATGCCTTCTAGAAGTATGACTAGACAGCATACCAGCTCTACAAGAAAACAAAGGACATATAACTTCTTCCTCAAGTGTCTTAACAGTTGCTGGTGAGGAGTCAAAGTGGACAATACTGCCAAACGGCATCAGCAGTTGGACTGTTTTTTAGTTCCATGTAGCAGATACACACAACAATGTGATGATGCTTCAAAGGGTTGGTAGAAAACACAGGGAATCCGGGTCGGATGATCCCTTCAAGACCAGTGGTGAGAGTGGTGATACCGGGAGGGTGGAGGGAACGTAGGGTGGAAAGGGGGAACTGATTACAAGGATCTACATATAACCTCCTCCTTGGGGGACAGACAACAGAAAAGTGGGTGAAGGGAGATGTCGGACAGTGTAAGAGATGACAAAATAATAACACTTTATAAATTATGAAGGTTCATGAGGGAAGGGGGAGAGGGGAGGGAGGGGAAAAATTAGGAGCTGATACCAAGGGCTCAAGTAGAAAGAAAATGTTTTGAGAATGATGATGGCAACAAATGTACAAATGTGCTTAACAAAATGGATGCATGAATGGATTGTAATAAGAGTTGTACGAGCCCCAAATAAAATGATTAAAATTAAAAAAATAAAACTAGGAGTTAAAAGATAATGGAATTTTCCGCCAGTTTTTTAGTGTTCCCTCATCTTCTTAGTATGTGTGATGCACCAATCTTTTAGGACATTTTTCTATTTGCATTTTTAATATTGACCATGACCAGTACAATGATTTCGCAATCCACTATCATATTCAAGACCAGCTGTTTGGAAGCCACTGCAGTAGGGGCCTTCACCCGTTTGTTAACTTAGTACCTCACACAAAATGGCTCCCACCAGGTTGGGTTTTCACTTACACTCTCAACTTTTATGTCATCACCATATAAAACTCTCATAAAACCATTGAGATCACTTTACATCACTTCATTTAGTCCCCACTATAGAAAGCTATACAGGAAAAGTTAAAAAAAACTACAGATTACATTAAATCCTCAGAAGATAAAGATTTTATTCCCCTCCTGACTGAATCTATGAATGGTTGGGAATAGTAGCTACACATAACCCACAAAGCTCTGCCTTTCCTTTGAGTGAGTTAGAAATCTTGGTTTCCCAATCAAAAGTCAAAGGTAATTACTAAGGCACTGAACCGTGAAACATTCTAAAGAAAGCCAATCCACAAGTTAAATAATAATCAAAGTTACTATTAGCTCAAGTTATTTGAGCAGACATTCATTAGCCATCATAAAAATAACCTACCTAAGTCCTCCTTCATCTCCCATTGTAACAGGACGCTGTATTGTTCTGTGCCACCATTCTCTATCAATGAATGGTTTAAGTTTTAAAAAGGAAAGAAGAGACCACAAGTCCTTCAAGGAATTCTGGATTGGAGTCCCTAAGAAATAACGGGCAACTGTCATAACTCTATAAACTCCATACGCAGATTATCCGACAGGCTCAATCAGACAATACCAGATGAAAACTAGCACCTGTTAGAGGTGCAGCTCGTTAAACATAGGATGAAGTGCAAAATCTCCACAGAAAATAAAACTGAAAAATAACATTTTGAAGCCTTTCATGAACACGATCTCAAAATATAATATGATTCTATTTTTAAGCTCTCAATCAGTGAGACTAACAAATACATTTAGTCTCTTAACTTTTACCAGTAATTTCAAGTTTCTATTAAATCCATTTTCTTATTTAGTTTTTAAAACAGCACCAGCAAGTTAATGAGTTTCAATTCTCCTTCCTACCTTCTAGTAAAGGAATCATGAACAACAAACAGCTTCTCAAATGGGTGGCAGGTAAATCAAAATCCAAGGTCAAGAATAATCCTATTAATTTGGCCATAAACTAATTTTAATATAAAATGTGTTGTTATCAACAGTACGAAAGGTATAAATTTTAAAATGAACTACATGATTAATTTTACAAGGTCTTATATTCATTTGACACTTAACACTAACTTAAATTTTTGGAGTGTTAAAAAAAAAAAAACAGTGTTAAGATTACCTGTCAATACCCATCTTCTTTCGGCTTCCAAATTAAGTACAGCTTTCGTCTGCTGGGCATTTGGATTTCGTATAGCATGTCCTTCATCCAGGATCACTCTTAACCATTTTATACTATGTAATGGGCTATCCCCTTTGGTCTGAAATAAATGTTTCGTGAACTAGATCAAAATACATAGTATTTAACATAATTTGCTAAATAATTATAATTGTTAATACTTTAGGAACGCTGGAGGCTTAGTGAGCTACCTGTTGGGATGCTAGCCACAGGCCCTCTGTGAGGCTCTCCACTTGTTTAAGTAAGTCCCCTTGGAGACCCACAGGAGTAGACGCGTTCTGTCTTACCAGGTAAAAACAAGTTGTAATTGACTCGTTGGGTAATGAGTTTTTGAAATTACACTTCAATATCAACAAGCGAGCACTGTCGTTAACATTTTCTAGGTGCCAGGTATATACAAGAGGGATTCAAAAAGTTCACGGACAAATGGAATTAAAAGACGATCAGTGTTTCTCCGAGTAAATAGCACTGGCCTCTGTGAGGCACTGGACCGGTCCAGGGGGGGCTGCAATATACCTAGACTTGATCCAGGCTTATACACTACAGTGAAAAAGTTTCTAACGGCCAGGTAACACCACACTTAGCAAATTGTAAAAGTTCCAGCCATGACATTCAGGGTGAGTTAAATAAATGTTTGACTAAATACAGTGAGCTAATTTTTAAGTTGATAATTTTGTATGGCCCGTGAATGGCGTTATAAATATCCACATGGCCTTTGTAAAGAACTGGTTTAGATCGGTAAGGCGTTTTGAAAATCAAACTTCGAAATTCTCTGAGTATAAGCTTACTTACCCCATAGTCATGAGTCAAAATATTGTATGTGGTCAAAACAATATCCTGTTTTGAAAGCAGAGCAGGGTCTCTAATGCGATCTGGACCATAATAAACACAGAAATTCAAGTGCACCTCTGATTTTATATGTTGTCCAAACTGGTCCTGAAAAATAATGAATATTTTGAATAACAAAATTAGTGTCAAACTTAATGTGGGCTATACAAACTATACAGAAGCCTCATGGTACAACTATTACGCATTTGTGGCTGACAATCAAAAGACTGGTGGTTCAAATTCACCAGCTGCTCTGTAGGAGCAAAGCCCTGGCACTGGATCTGAACAGAGCTGGGACGCCCCCAGGCAGTCCCGTCTTTCCTGGGGGGTTGCCACGAGTGCTACTGGACTCAGGGGCACACACAGAAGCAGCACAGAAATGTTTGAGTACTGTTCTGAAATGCCTGCCACAAATCATGAAGTACTAAAATGGGCTAAGATCGGTTTCTTGCAATCTTAATTAAAGAAGTAACACTGATGTTGGTGACAAGAATGACTATGTTGTCAGAAAACTGACATACACTCTACAACAGCATTATTATGTAAGTTTTCCAGGTCCTACAAATAAGCAGCCATTTCACTGTTAAGACAATTCAAATAACTAAGCTTCTAATGAACAATAATTACTGTGAAAAATCATTTACTTTTAATAAAGGGGATTTTTATTGTTCCCAATTAAGCAACTTATTAATATCAAAGTGAAGCAGTAAAGAACATCAACCAATAACAAGGTAGCTTCAAAAAATCTGGATAAAATGGAATTAAAAGACAATGGAAATTTTACGAGCTTCTTGAAGTGCCCTCATAGTTTCAAAGATACAGACATCCAATCCAGCACACTACCCCATGCTCTCGTTTTTTATGCTTAGGTACAATTTGCAAGATATAAAGTGCAAAGGTAGTTAAGCTAAAAAAGAAAATATGACTTGAAACTTCCTCTCTAAAGGACCAGTTTTTAAAATTTAGGCCTTTTGCATGAAAGCAATAGATGTGAGAGATTTTGGTCAGGGAAAATTCAATCAGACTGGAGAAAGAAAGCACACAGGGAAGCAGCTGGGGGACTGTGAGCAGACAGACAGTGAAGGCCTACACCGTGAGGGCAGGGGAGGAACAGAACCAAAAGGGAGGTGTGAAATTAAGGGACAGAAGAAAAGGAACTGACAGAATCTGGGAACTAATTACAGATGGGATTTGAAGAAAATGCAGAAGGCAATGAAACCTCTGATATCCCAAATGATACAAAGAAGTTTAAAAAGGGAGGAAAAAGGTATAAGAGATTATCTTTATTTTAGGCATATTTTATTGAAAAAGTTCATTAGGAAAATATAAATATTGATCAATAAGACAAATGAAAGGGCAGAAAAACTATGAATTTTAAAATTAAGACACAGTAGTGAAGTCAAAGGAATGACTAAGATTTCCTAAGAGCATGAAGAATGACAAACGAAGGTCGAGGGCAGCATCAATGGAATGCCACTATTTCAAATAGCTAGCTCACGCACCCACTGGGAACTATGACACAATGTCTGGGATATGATTACACATACTCCAGGAAAAAAACAGAATGAAGAAGACATGGCATACTTTTGATAATTCTTGAATCTTCATGAGTACACTTAGAAATCATTAACCTTTTTCATAATCTCTCTTTTAAAATACCAAGCTTTATCTGATCCCACCACACCTAGGTAAAACACTAAGGGCATACAACAGAACAGCAAGGGGTACAGAGCAACGAAGTCCCCAGGGAATACCAAAAATAGACTTTGGGGCCAGGGCTTGGAACCCCATCAGACTCTACCGGAAAACACTCCTAATATCCAACAAACAGTGCTTGAACTAATTACAGGCTTTTCTTTGTTGTTGTTGTTGGCTATTTTTTTTTTGTCATTGGTTTTTTGTTGTTTTGTTTCTTTTTGTTGCTTTGTTTTGCTGTCTTGCTTTTGTGCATGTTATTATCTCTGCAGGTCTGTCTAAATAAGATAGGCTGGATGAACAATCTGGAGGAGAAAACAACGGGACCAACGGTTCCGGTTCCGGGGGGACATGAGGTAGGGGGAGGTGAGGGGAAAGGAAGTGGTGTTAACAAACCCAGGGACAAGGGAACAACAAGTGATCCAAAATGGTGGTGAGGCGGGTGGTAGGAGGCCTGGTAGGATGTGATCAAGGGTAATGTAACCCAGAGGAATTACTGAAACCCAAATGAAGACTGAGCATGATAGTGGGACAAGAGGAAAGTAAAAGGAAATAGCAGAAAGAGCTAGGAGACAAAGGGCATTTATAGAGATCTAAATAAAGGCATGTAAATATATTTATATATGAGGATGGGGAAATAGATCTATGTACATATATTTATAGGTTTAGTATTAAGATAGCAGATGGACTTTGGGCCTCCACTCAAGTACTCCCTCAATGCAAGAATATTTGTTCTATTAAACTGGTATTTCATGATGCTCACCTTCCCGACAAAATCGCTGAAGACAAATGGGTGCATAAGCAAATGTGGTGAGGGTGGAGGGAGGGTAGGGTGGAAAGGGAGAACTGATTACAAGGATCTACATATAACCTCCTCCCTGGGGGATGGACAACAGAAAAGTGGGTGAAGGGAGATGTCGGACAGTGTAAGATATGACAAAATAATAATTTATAAATTATCAAGGGTTCATGAGGCAGGGGGGAGGGGAGAGCAGGAAGAGGGGGAAAATGAGGAGCTGATGCCAAGGGATTAAGTGAAGAGCAAATATTTTGAGAACGTTGAGGGCAACGAATGTACAAATGTGCTTTACATAATTGAGGCATGTATGGATTGTGATGAGAGTTCTTTGAGCCACCAATAAAAAGATTTTTTAAAAATCAATAAATAATAAAATACCAAGCTTTAATAGTAAGCTGGAGAGAAAAAAAGAGGTTGAGACTCAATGTTGAGAAAATTTGAGTAGCTAACACAAAACTTACAATATGGGGATCAAAGGATGTCAAAATTTCAGTAAGTAAGCAGGCAAGTAAATAAATTGTAATGTGAATGTTGATACATAACTTTTGTTTACACCACCTCTTTACATGAAACAAAAAAAGTACTAAAAGAGAAACTCAAAACAGAATTTTAAAAATAGGAGAGCTCCCTGGCTAAAATGAGTTCACAGATGATGCAGCAAACAGTTTCTATGAGGGAGAAGCAAAAACCAGACAGCTATTATCTGAGCGGAAAATGAAACGTTGGAATATTGAAAATGTAGATGGTTCTTCAGGGAAATCTGGTAGAGAAGTAAAGGAGAAAGAACTCAATAGTTACGTATGAAAGAACACAGAATCGATGTGTTGCCTTAAAATGGAACAGCATTTATTTGTGGAAAGATCAGACTTTGAAATGGAGGGGGAAATCCCAGAGAAAGAACTGCAGCTGAGGAGTCTCTCTTTAAGTCTACTAAGCGATTACACCCACGCACATACGCAGAAGTGAGAAGTACTGCATGGCTATCAAACAAAGCATGTGACACTCAGTCTTTTTTATGCCAACAGGGCACACCCACGCACATACGCAGAAGTGAGAAGTACTGCATGGCTATCAAACAAAGCATGTGACACTCAGTCTTTTTTATGCCAACAGGGCACCCAGAAGAAGGTATGGGTGGAGTTTAGCCTGTCAATCAGGTCGCAGCTATCGGATGACCTCCTTTGAAGGTGCAACCAAGATAAATGGCTCTCTGGAAAGTGGCCCCCTTCTCTCCCTCTCTCTACTTTTCTGCTGGTGAGCCACTCTGAGACCTGCTAGAACCATCGCCAATGGATCACATGACTTTGTACCCGCTGACCTGTGACCTTCCAGCATTCTGCATCACTGAATGTAGCTGTGTGAGTGAAAAGGGAATTATGAACCAGTGTTGGGCTAAGGACTTGAGTTGGACTGGGCTGGGATGTTTTCTCAATATACAGTTACTTCTTGATATAAAGCTCTTTCTTACACATAAATGTTAGCATGGCCTAATATGTTAAATGTCTAATTAATGGATAATTATAGATATATTCCTTCAATAATACATGTGTCTGAGCTTTGAGTACTTCTTTTAAAAAGGGGGTGGATGGTGGGATGCTTTTTGTGCCATGGGTGGGGGTGGGGGGTGGGGGGATCATTTTGTAGGGTTTTTTTTGGAGAAATTCTGATTCTAAAAATTCTGAGAGATTGTCTTAAAGGACACAGGATGATCACAGGAGTTTATTATGAAGAAATGTTCAGAAAATTGAAAACTGCATTGGTAAAAAAAATGGCCAGGCAAGTTTTGCCAAGGAATTTCCTTTCAATTATGACAAAACACCTGCTCATTTTTTGAAAATTCTGTGGGAAAATCTAACTCCCAAAACTCAAATGTTTAAAAGGAAAATGTCTTGTGTCCCTCATAGCTGCTAAAAATGAACTGTGGTTTTGACATTTCAATCAAAGAGCATAGAATTCTTTGAGGAAGGGTTAGAGGGATGAAAGGCTGTCTTCTAAAGTGTATGGACCTAGATGAAGACGATACTGTGACAATAGTTACATATTTGTTTAGTAAAGGTATCTATGATTTTGTAGTAATACTTGTTGATTTACTCTCATGTAGGTGGGTGGCTGTGTATACAAATAAAATAGATGCCTCTATTTCCAAAAAGAAGATACCAGTAAATAACATTCTGAAATCCAGAAGCAGTATGTGGTAGAAGTGGGTTTAGTACAAATATTTTACTCCTTTAACTGGATTATTTTCATAGCGTAAAGAAAAACCATGCAAAAATAGAGGAGCCCTGGTGGTGGTGTGGTTCTGTGTTGAGATCCACGTGGTAGGTAGTTCAAAACCATCAACAGCTCTGAAGGAGAAGACTGGGCTTTTTCTACTCCCATTAACAGCCTCAGAAGCCCAGTGGGCCTCTGCGAGTCAGCATTAACCGATGACAGTGGGCTTGGGGGAGATTGCTCCAAGTCACTTAGTTGAGGGTTATTATAGAAATGGCTTAAGAGACTGAAATTCCAATCTTGACCATAAATCCCTAAAAGCCCAAGATTTTGTCCATTTTCTATACAAAGTTTACATTACCCAAATCATTTTCCAACTAAAAAATTATAATAAAATGCTGATTACCCATTGTTAAAAAAATATCTACCATTTCTATCTCCATTAACATCTCTAAACCTCATTTTGAAACAGGGTCATTCAAGTACCGAAGGATTGTAGAATATATCACTCAAGAAAACAAAGGATGATGTGGTCAGAATGTAAAAGGGAAGAGAAAATCAACTAGGACGCTTTCTTGTTCTAAAAGGAAAATGACACACTGATTACGCTAACTCTAAAAGGCTGTGCAGTAGTTTCTCTTTTTAAAATTAATAAAGCAAAAACTGTTTAAAGAAAAAAATCTTAAAACAACAAAAACCACAGTATGTTTTATAGCAATGCCCATGGCAGAGACCGAATAAGAAAAGACGGGAAGGTAAACTCTCATATATAGGCTAAAGTATTGCTCTCAAAAAAACACAAATAAATAAAACAAAAAATAAAACGACCTCTGTGATCAGACAGTTCAAGCCGGGAGAGATAGACAGGTAATCTTGGAGGTGGCAAAATTGAAAGCTCACATCCAACAGTCTTCATGTTCAGAATGTTTCCAACAGGCAATATTCATTATAACATGCAGCTTGAAAATCAAACTGGGAAAACAAAACAATCAAATTGTTCCTTAAACGAAAGAGGCTCCATTCCAGAGTAATTTTAAAACAACAACAAAAGATCAGAGAAGAGGGAGTCACAAAATTTTCTGGTGGGCCGTCTTAAAAATACAGACTCCAAGCTAAAAATAACACTGCAGAGTACATCTGAGCTCTATCATTTACTAAACAGGACGGCCTCAGGTAAGTTTCTTCTCGTTTCTCAACTCGGTCATTAAAGAAAAAAATCATCATAATTATGAGGATTAGAGTATATGAAAAGAGCTCAAGAAAAACCTCATTAAATGTTACATATTTGTACAAGATACAATAGTTACTGTTAACTTTATCCTCAGAAAAGGGCAATCAACAGTTAGTTTGCACTTAATGCTGGAGTCTGAAACAATCTTTCCCACTTTGGAGAATAAAAATGGTCAAGGCAGAAATACAAAATAAACTAATGTTTTATTTTCTCTATTAAAAAAAAAGCTTACCTCAATTCAGCATTATCCCAATTTACCTAATAATTATTTGAACTCAGGTATAAAATGCTGATAAATCATAATTCCACCAACAATTGAATATATAACAGAATACTTTCTTTTAGAAGACAAACATAAATTAAACCACGTTGTTAAAGGGTTTTGAGACTCACAACCCAGTTGCTTAGCACAGAAAGTGGGCAGACGATTAATGTTGTCCTTGCTTTCTCTTCAGCGTGCGTTCTCTCTGCATCCTCCACAGGTGCTCCTGAAAGAATCAATCATTAACACAGCTTTAAAGGTGCCCCCCCCCACAAACATATATGAGGGTCAATAAGGAGATGACACTAATGTGCTTCTATGACACAAGAAATTATAAAGAATTAAAATTAAGTGGGTAAGCTTATTTTAAGTCATAAAGAATAATAGGGACTTAATAGGGAATTAAATTATTTTTAACTAATAATTTTAATTAAAAAACAAAAAAATACAACTAAAACCTAAAAAAAAAATCAGAAGTACTGACCCTTTTTCAATACTTTCTTTTTTGTTGTCAGCATAGAAGAAGAAAGTGCGCATGCGAACTCTGAATCCTCTTTAATCTTGGAAGATCCTGCTAAAGGAAAACCAACAAAAGCACTGGTATTAAACACATCCTCTCTTCTAAGGTACTCACACTAGGACGGCTAGGAGAGGAGCACGTTCACATTCTGCACGTTAAGTTACGCACATCACTGAGCCAGACATCTCAGCAGCTATTGCTGGCCCAGAGGACTGCTGTGGACTCATGGCAGACTGAGGGGCAGAACGCTTCTTGTTGTCCGGGGTCTTAGAAACTGGACAGGGAACTGCCCCATGGGGCTTCCTAGTATGTAATCTTCACAGGAGCAAACCAGCACTTAATTTACTGAGCAGATTGAAGCTTTGAACCTTTGAGCTCATAGCCAAGGAATCGATCACTGCGTCACCAAAGCAGACCATGCAAACTGATCCTGCTCTAGGGGAGAAACCTTCACCAAGAAACACGGTTTGGGTTTCTGATGTGAGGCTTATCTAAAGCCAGTGGCAAACAGTTAATTTCCCAATTCAATATAATGTCTCAGTTAATTAGAAATATATGAGAATATCAAAATTTGAGGAAAAGTAAATCATATTTTAACTCAAAGAAAAATTTGCTTATTACATTTGCATGTATGTAATATGAATTAACAATGAATACTATGAGAACACTCCCCATCTACTTTTCTAATTAGCACATATCCATATTAGGAGACCTGGTACAAGGTATAATGATTTAAGTGTGGGGCTGCACAAATCGGTGGTTCAAACCCACCAGTCATTCCATGCAAGAAAGGTGAATCCCGTATGGATTCACTATGAGTTGAAATCAAATTGATAACAGTGGGTTTGATTTTGGATGTATACATATACAAATGAAGTTTTTGTAAAGTCATTTTATTAATCGAACACTTCTTTTTAGGAAGCCCTGGTGGCATGGTGGTTATGCACTGAGTTGCTGACTACAAGGTCAACAGTTTAAAATCACAGTCACCCCACAGGAGAAAGAGAGGCTTTCTACTCCTATGCAGAGTAGAAAACCGTTTGTCTCAGAAACCCACAGGGACAGTGTTACCCTGTGCTATGAGGTTGCTCTGAGTCACAGTCAATTCCATAGTACTGAGTTTATATTTTCATTTCACACTAAGTTGTTTTAACTATTACCTCTTACATCTTAACTGAAACCATTCACTCTATTTACCTCATTCATTTAATTCACTTAATACTCTGCTGAGCTGCAATCTATCTAAAGCGAAAGTAAAGAATTCAAAACAATAAAAACACAAATGAATGTAGTTTTACTTTGGTAATTTTCACTATGAATTATTAAGTATTGAGAAAAATGCATTAAAATATACCTTTACCCTTGCCTTTAGTCTCCGATTTTGCATTTTTCAGTTTGCCTAAAAACAAAAGCAAAGTAAACATAACAAAAGTCACAATAGGAAATCAGTATCTAGGGCACAGCATCAAATTAAAATCCCATTTCAAAACTACCTTTTGTTTTCTGCGGTAATTCACTTTTTTCAAACTCCTCTGAATCACTGGTTTCTGTATACTTGTCAACGGTTTTTCTTCTAAAATTAAGCACAGTGAAATTTTTTACCAACCCACAGTAAAATGTGATATAAAACTTCAAATTTAACAAATGCCTTGTATTGTCCTGATTATATTTTGAAAAAATTTTCAAAGGAAACCTTTTCTCTGATAAAATCAAATAAGCTAAAGCAATTTGCTTTTTTAATTAGATGCATTCACCATACAAACTACAGTAATTTTTAAATTAGAAAAATTAAGCCATTATTAAAAGATAGTCCTTTTATATTGATTCAATATTTAATAATTAAGCTAATATTAGAACATTAACTCCCAAAAAGGCTATTAAGCAAAAAACCAAAAGGCCCTAATGTAATTCATTCACAATAAAAAAAGTATGCCTGGAAACAGTACATCACAGAGGTTAAGTGGCTAAGAACAGTGGACCGCAGAGTCAAAATTACCTAAAACATCAAATCCCTATACCATTACTTGTTTACTATATAACTTTAGGCAAGCTGCCTAATTTTCTCCTATTTCCTCATTTGGAAAATAAAAATAAAAATGCAATGAACCATATAGGACAAAATGTGTTAATATATGTGAAACCTTGCATAGTAAACATGTATACAGAATAAAATGTGCATTAGCTATTTGGGTTTTTCCATATAACCACCCACTTCCAATCAAATCAATTCCAACTCAATCCTGTCCCATCCTATCGTGACACTGAAGGGCAGAACAGAGCTGCCCCTTTGAATCTCCAAAACCGTACATCTTCACAGAAGCAGATACACTCATCGTCCTCCCACGGAGCAGCTGGTGAGTTCAAACCAACGACTGTGGGGTTAGCAGTTCAACAGGTAACCCACTAGCTCTTTTACTGCCGTGTGTCCTTTACTCTGGTCCTGGACACTTCAGGTAAGAATGAGTGTGAGGGTGCTATGAGTCAGAACCAACTGGACAGAAACTGAGCCCCACCGCTACCACCCAAAAACGCTGCTAGCCAAGTCTCTGGTCAGTTCAGAGTTGTAAGAGCTGAGCTCTACAGGGGAGGTTTTATGCTCAGTTTAAATGGATGCTAATGACAGAAAACGAGTAAGAGGCACTTTTAAGATGTCTGTTGGCCGAACAGCTAAGAGAGATCCAGATTCGAGGTCATATTTACAAATGTTAATAGTGGAAAATGCAACAAAGTCCAATTTTTTAAATTACTTCAAAGAGTAAATGAAGTCTATATTTGCCACAGGCCAGATTCAAGGTGAGACCACAGGGGAATTACATGGTCTTAGCTCTCCTTCTAGTCTAAAGTTAACACTTTCCATCTGGGCAAGCAGTTCCAGTGTAGCAGTGGTTCAAACACTGGGACATCTGAAAGGTTAGTGGCCCAAGCTTATCAGCTACTCCATGGGAGAAACATGCTTCCACAGTGACTTACAGCCTTAGAAATCTATGAAGCAGTTCTCTGCCCTCCGGGGGCATGATGAGCCAGCATCAACTCATTATTAGTGGGTTGTGTTTTTTGGATTGGAAAACTGTCTTATTTCCAATAGAAGTGAAATGAGACAGAACTAAAATCTTTGTGAAAACCATCCAATCAATATTCCTAAGATCTCATCCTCAAAATTTATTAAGAAATCTCTCCTAAAATACCAAGAAATTTTTAAAAACACAAGAGCTAGCTATGTTGCTAGGTGAAAAATAGAAATAAACACGATAGAAAGGTGAGAGGTTACTGAGCATTAGAAACCCTAACATTGTACAGATCACTATGCCTCTTCCTGAGCAGTCAATGAGAACGCCCCACCTCACCCTTTACCACAATGATTCTCCAAGTTTCAAATAACAAAATGATGTTTGAAAAAACGATGTAACAGATTAAATGGTTATTATGTATATGTATACACATATATATGAAAATGGAAGTATAAGTAAATGTATATAATGAAACTATACTAGTTTACCTTTTGGGGCGGGAACAAAAATAATCTGACATGGAAGGTTCACTCTTTTTCTTGATATCTGAAGTGCTGGATTCTTTGCTACACCTGGATCCTTCAAAGAAAAAGATAAGCATTATACAGAACATTAATAAGTTGTCTTATGCTAGCAGCACTGTTTTCCCCAATTCATCAACTAGCTACTATCTCCTAATCTAGGATTATCTCCCTAGAAAGTTCTTTAATTTCTTATGATGCAGTCAGTCTCATGCAGGTAATGCCCACAATGGCTAAAATTCCTGAAGTATCAAAACTGAGGGGAAAAATCAGAACCACAAAGTAGCAGTGGTACAAATCTCAGCTGTGGCCTTCCATCATGCAGCCGCTCATACAATCTCCATCCCAGCTGCAGAACGACTCTTTGCCTCCATTCCAGCCCTGTCCCTACATCACCTTAGTCACTTCACACAGCATGTGTGGCAACATACAGAGGTGTCCCCTTGAAGTGAAAGGGGAGGAGTGCGCCAGGCTTAGGCTGGGAAGGACAGAGGAATCAAATATAACGGTGCAGTTACACATTCACAGGAGTACATTTTAGTGTCCACAAAATGGAATGTAGGTATTAAAAAAATCAGATGTCATTTTCCATAATTTTCCTGATACCCTCATCTTCACCCCCTTCGATATCTATAATTTCCTTCAGCTTTACTCTACTTCCTTCTGATGGAAGGATGGTCCCTCCGGGTATGTATTTATTCTTTTAATCACATTTCCTCTCAGAAGTCAACTAGTAAACTTTTTTCATTTGTATCCACAATCTCTTCCTAGAAATTTATTTTCTATAACAAAAGAACAAAACTCTCAACTTTATTCTCCCAACTATTCATTTCTTTCTAACTTATCGAATATTTCCAATTCTTCAGCTACTACTATCATGAAAATATTGTCAGTCTGACACTGCGCTGACCAATTTTCAGAAGTTAATTTTATGAAGATCAATTTAACTGCTAGAGATGTTTTTATTCTCTTCTGGTTTTAAAATTTGGCTCTAAACTACCTGCCTTTCTAGCTTTCCCCCACCCCCCTTCTAGCTTTATCTAGCAATAGATCACTGCCCATTACATTATAAATAACATAAATTACTCAAAGATCCCAGAATAAAACATGCTCTGTTTCTTCACCGCCTTTTCATGGGAATTTTTGGAAAGTGCTCTCCCAAGACTCTGATTAGTGCGCTTTCACCCCATGCAAATACTGGGTGAAATACTTCCTTCCTGAAGACAAATTTCCTTAATACAACTTTCGTGTAAGACAACTTTCCTTCGTAGTCCTCATGAAATTCTTCAGAGATACTTTCACGTTTTCTGTAGCACAAAACCACTAGTGAAAAAAAAATCTAAATCAAACATTGGGTCACATTCAAAATTGAAGTTACCTTTGATCAGTCCATCTGCCTTTTCCCTGGTACTGTTTCCTTCCAGTTTCATAGATTCGTTGTTAACATGTTCCTGAAAGCAGAGGATAGTTCATATAAGACACTACTGTCAGTTTTACATATAATGAAAATCCACCTCATTTTATATTTATTTTGCATAAAACAACCAAACAAAAAAACAACAGTTGCTCTACAGCCCATTCTAACAGCAACCCCACATTTCAATGCTGCTCCACCGGACTTCTGTGATTGTGCTATTTCTGCAATAGAGTTCTTTCCAGATCTTTCTTCCCAGATACCTCAGGGTGGATTCGAGTTGTCAAACACGCATTAATAGGTCATCACTTCTCTATTTGTGTGCTCAGGACAGGGACTCCTTAACATAACAAAACTAAAGACGACTTAATCTGCTACTCCACTCTGTCTGGAGCACATCAGTAGAATGAATTAAATGAAAAAAATGCATAAATAAATGTATAAAGAAAAGGACACAAACTGTTGCCTATTCAGGACAGAGAATGACGTAGCTAACTGATTTAACTCCCAAAAGAAAAGAACAATGAAGGAAATTACACTTAAGTGTTCAAATTAATGAAACAACCACCTCAGTTAAGTATTGGCAGGTAAGTGATATGCAGCCTCACTGATAAGTCAGCCCTAAAAACAGCTTTCCAGAATATTCTAAAAGGAGGTTTTATTTTTTTAATTTTTTTTTACAGTTAAATTATTTAAATATAATTAAGTATACACATTTTATGTATAAAAGTATACGTTGAAGAGTCAGCTACAGTCACGGCAGGAGATAATTATCACCTTTAATATTTTTGATAGACAATGATATAGTTATTTAGAAGGCTTCAAAGAGTTCACAGAAAACAGAATTAAAAGATAATGGAACTTACTTTATGAAGCCCTCCTCATCATATATAAACATATACAATAAAGTCTCATCATCCTTGGAGGTATGCTTTATAATGATGGCATAAGCAGTGAATTAGCAAGTAAAGAAAAACAAATTGTAGCAAGTAGACTAATTCAAAAATATGAAATTTCTATAAAATGAGAACTCAAAAATCCATTTATAAATTGGTTGCGTATTCTTCAAGTGTCTGTGGTTACATAATATTAAATTTTATGGTTATATCATAACTTAAACTCTTTATCAAGACAGATTTCTAATATTTCTGCTTCTCAATGAAGATTAGGAAGAGTAAAAAAACTTGGGGAATTTCTAATAACTAAGTAATTTCCTAGAAAGAGTACTATGTTAAAGATAACACATTCCAGTTCTTAACACATATTATATAAATGCTAACTATTACCAATATTTTGGGCCCATATTTTATGACAAAATTAACATATTACATAGACACTTCAAAGAATAAGCATTTACTATTTTACCTTCTTCAGTTGATTCTTCTTCATTCTTTCAACAGGAAGTGGTTTGCCATCATGGAAGTTGGTAAGAATTACAGCAATAGCTGTAAGAGTTTTGCCCTTTAAAACGTTTTGAAAAACAAAAGGTCAGGATACTGGAAACCCAGTCAGTATGCTGAAAACATCCCAAAAATAATTTAAAAATAATTTAAATAATTTAAAAATAACCAAAACTGAATTATCAGTCAAGACCATAAAGTATAATAGTGCTTATTACATAACATGCATATATTAACTGAAAATCAGTACTGTGTTAAGTTAGAAAATGTTTTCCTCATTGCCCTAGGAAATATTGACATAAAACTATGAACATCAGGATTTTTACTGAAACACTGTTTTAAGACTTCACTTAGCACTCTGAACTATTACTTTATCAATAAACTACTTACCATAAAATTCAGAGCTAATTGTAAATGAATTAATTTTGCTATACAAGATTATCTTAACAAGCTGTAACTTCATCAATAAAGCATTAAAAGACATTTATTATGCATCTCTTATAAGTGACAACATTTTTTACAGTACTTTCTGCAGCTAAGTTTTTATGTACCAATGCAAAAGTCTCTAGTAACTTTTATGCAATATAACCAGCAAAGTAAGATCTATAACTTTCTGGGGACTCTCAGAACCCTCTCGGGGTCATATGAAGTCGAAAGTATTTTCCTAATACGGGGGGCTGGGTGAACCTTGCCATCAAGGTGATTCGGACTCATCTCACAGAGACCCCATAGGACAGGACAGAACAAAACTATGTGCTGCCCGAAATTTTAATCTTCACATGAAAAAGTTCATGGAAAACATTATAAAATGCACAAATTTCAAAAAAATTTGCACCAAAATAAACGTGGACTACATAAATTGCTATAATACATCTGAACAGGATCTAGTATGAGACCACTAAAAAGGGTAAGAAATTAATTTGAAAAAGGGCCCACCAGAGCAAAATGAATTCTGCTAAAACGGAAACATCAACAAACATCAAATTTCTGGTGGAGCCTTGGTGGAAGAATGGTGTTTTAACTTCTTTATGAAAAGTTTATGAGGATAACGCCCCAGATAAATCAGCAGGTGACAAATGATTAAATTGATTTAAGTAGGCCTAATCATATCAATTTGCTGGGGGGGGGGGGTTTCATCTTTAATCATTGAAGAGGATCAACAATTAATAACAGAAATACCTAAATACACACATACCTCAATGGGTTCCACTTACGAAATTCTGACTGAAATATTACAAGCTGATCAAACTTTCTGCAGGATGAATACCAAAAACTGTTGCACCCAGATCAGGTGCAGACAAGAGCAGACTTATCTATGGAAATTGTAAGTAAGTGGGATCCCTGGAGCATATATTTTAAATTTTTAACATGAGATGAAATACAGTTTTACCAGCTGGACCCTGAAGGCAAAGCACAATAAAAGTAATGGTTCCACCAAGACGCCAAAGTGGTCCAGATAGAAGAGAAGCGGATTATCCAAGAAGGAAGATAATGGCAACAGGTTTTTGGATGCTCAAGGCATTTTGCTTCTTGATATTCTAGAGAACCGAAGGACAGCAAAATGTGCTTATTCTGATGAGTGTTTGAGGTAGTCAAAACAAAGACTTGCGGAAAAGCATTACCAAAGTTTCTCACCATGGTAATGCTCCTGCTCACTCCTCTTGCCAAAAAAATACTATTTTGCAGGATTTTTGAGAAGAACTTATTAAGCATCCATGGTTTTTTTGTTTCCTAATCTTAAGAAAAAAAATCCCTTAAGGGCACCCATGTCTCTTGTGAATAATGTAAATAAATAAGACTGCAGTGGCAAGGTTAAATTCCAGAACTCTATGTTCTCTAGTGATGAAATGCACTAAACGGCTAGTACCAGCCCATACAAAAGTGTCCCAACTTCGACGAAACATTGTTAACAAATAATGGGTTTGTTGATGTTACCTTAAATCAATGGTTTTTAAAAATTATTTTCTTCCCTTGTACAATAAATGCTCTATACATAACCTATAAAAACAAAAGCTCTTTAGGGTCCTCAATAAATTTTAAGACAGATTTAAAAGTATAAAACCTGCTGGCCTAAAAACTCATAAAGAACTCATGACTGGTTGGTTTCCTTGAATTTTAAATAACAAAAGCAATTGAAATTTATATATTTATATCATAACTGTTACTTAAATTATTTTAATTGTATCTTAACCAAATCCCCTCCACCAAAAACAAACAAAAAAACCCAGTTTGGTTTTTTTTGTATTATTTACATGAAAATCATAGATGAAATTACATTTTTCAATAAAAATAAAATCTAGCCCTAAGCAGGATTAAAAAAATAATTTAAATTACCAAACCCATATCATCAGCTAAAATTCCTCCGTGAACATTTTCTGGTCGGTACTTCTCAGAAAAATTTGTTATAGTGTTATAATATAGATCATCCCGCTGTTCCCAGAATGGTGGAAGGTCTTGACTGTTTTCCCGTGAAACCATCCAAGCTAGTGCTTGCTTTTGATGTGCAAGTAATGGTGTTTCGATAGCCTATAAGTAAAAGAAATGTCACAAAGAGAAACAGAATATTTTCCGCTTTTCAAATGTAGTGTGAAAAAGTTGATCTTATGATAGAAAATAGAGATGAACATATTTTAAAATTCCAAGTAGTTTTCGATAAAAATAGTGCCTCCATACCTCGGATGGTTCCATTTCATGAGTTTTATCATCTTCTTTCAAATCTTCAAACAATTTGTCAAATTCTGTTTTAAGCTACAATAAACAAAAACCAATTAAAGTAATAATTACATTTACTTCGGGGTGCGGTCAAGTCGGTTACGACTCACAGCAATCCGATGTCCAAACACCACTGGGTCCTGTGCCAGGCTCACCACTCTCCTTATGCTTGAGCCCATCCACGTAACACCAAGTGATTTAAAGTCATGTACACACAAAAGCTAAGAACTCCTCTTTGGAACAGTGTACTGAACACTGAAGGAAGAATGAATTGGTATTGTAAGTGTTAAGAGCTTAAGAAGTTGCAGTTAACAAAAAATATAAAATGGAAGTTTAAGTCTTGGGCTTCAGTAATAGTTCTTTAACTCATCAGCCTATATATAACCAGATGCATTTGAATCTTTCAAAAGTAAATGGCATTCCCTTTTTGTTACTGCAATAAAAACTTACTATATTCTAACAGATCAGCCTATATATAACCAGATGCATTTGAATCTTTCAAAAGTAAATGACATTCCCTTTTTGTTACTGCAATAAAAATTTACTACATACTACAAGATATTAGGGTGATTTCAGTGATATACTAGTTGATTCTTTAACTGAGTTCAACTTTATGGTAACATGTGTTTTAGTGATTTATAAATTAGCACAGAAATATGCAACAGCCATCTTTAAGAAATTAGGTCAGGTCTAAAAAGTCAGAAGTTAATTGAGGTCTGCCCATGACCAGACAAGGTTCACCACCTTCCAACAAGGATTGAAAAAAATTTGATAAATACAATTAGGAGATAAAAGCACTAACAGTAGTGAGTAAAGATTATGTTTTTTTCACACTTGAAGACTGATTAGACTGCGTTATTTTATAGACCTCTGTTTTCAATGCGCATGACCACGTTCCGATGCAGCCTAGCAGAATCTTAGATTACAAGAACTATAAACAACGCTCAAGATTTGATGTTAATGTTTTAGCACTGCATCTACCACCTTCATAATAAAAGTTTTAAGAATTTTTATCCCCAATTGTGAAACTTTCAAACAATACAAAAGCATTTCAAGCAGTCATCTATTTATAAATATGTGCATGAAATATAGTCCTTATCACTGCCTGCATTTCACACCAAACACTGCAACTGCACCATTTTACAAACCAAACCCTAACCAAATTCCGTCACTGAGTCAATATCAACTCATCTTAACCCTACAGGGGTACATTCCTATAATAACTGCCCATGAGTTGCAGAGACAATAACTCTGTGGGAATAGAAAGCCCTATCTTTCTTCAGTGGTTGCTCGTGGTTCTAAACTGCTTACCTTGCAGTTAGCAGCCCAATGTGTAGGACCCCACAATGCCACCAAGGCTCCTCTTAAAAACTCACTTCCATGGAGTCCAGGCAGACTCGACAGGGCCCCTGCGGGTTTCCCAAACTGGAACTCTTTATGTAAGTAGAAAGCTTCGTGTTTCTCCCACAGAGTAGCTGACCTTGCAGGTAGCAGCCCAAGGTGTTCCCATTTTGCCACCAGGGCTGTGCAATATGTAATAGAGACTGAAACAGCACCAATACGTAACATGTATTCTATCTATTCAACAAGCCGTTCATATAATTTTGGAATATGCATGAAACATACATATTTGCCTTACCCTTTACAACACCAGGCTTCAGTATTGACAATTCACATCTAAATTACAAAATAAAGAGAAGCACACCTGTTCAGTTGTCATCTGTACTGCAGCGAGAACTGGCATAGTATAGCTTGGGCCCGCTCTTCCAGCATCCCAATTATATTCCAAACTGAATCCTAAAGCTAATAATTTATCAAATAAAGACAAAATTATCAATTAAAATATGTTTTCCCCCTACTAATTAATAAACCTGCATAATAAACTACATTCTCTTCATGATTTTTTAAAAGCTAAATCATAAATCATTCAAAATGAAAGTAACTTCATATTATCTGAGAAAAACTCCTACAAGTAATCTTTTTATTCTTGTCTATAATTTTTCAGACTTTGCAACTCAAGATTTAGATATTAATCCTGAAACAAACTAAAGGATAAACCCCACCCTGGAAGAAAACATTTATTTTGCAATTTCCAGCGAACTTCTAATTATTTTAAAATTAAGTAAATCTTGGATTTCTGTATTTGAGCGCTCCTTTAAAAAGTTATAATTGAAAAAGATTTAAAAAGTTATCACTGAAAGCCCAAATTGAACAACCACACTCAAAGTGTTATTTAAGGAATAAAGGTTTTATAGTCCTCTGCAATCTTAGAATATCAAAATAACAACAAGCTCTAAACTTACTTTTTGGAGGAGGAAGCATTTTAAATCCATGTTTCTTTAACTGGTCTACAACTGCTTTTTTATTTTCTTCTTTTCCCCAAAAAGCCATATGCAGAGGCATGGTGAAAGAATTGTTTGCACCGAAAGGAACAACCCTATTTTACATAGAAGAAGAAAAACGTGGAAAATTAGACGTTATTCTTGTTTAACATCCATGACAACTGTTACATATTCTAGCTTTCTATTCACTTTTGCATGGAAAAGAAGAACTCGGTTTGGTAGACTAGAAAAAGGAAAGTTAAAGGACAAGGTTTAGAATCTACAACAATCAGAAAGAATGGCCTTTAAGATCTCAGCATAAACTGAGGAAGTGGAATAAAGTTTATTTCTCAGCATAAACTGAGAAAGTGGAATAAAGTTTATTTCTCAAAATAAACTGAGAAAGTGGAATAAAGTTTATTTCTCAAAATAAACTGAGAAAGTGGAATAAAGTGGTTACAAAATACAATGATAGCCTGTGACCACGAGTGTACAACTGGTAAAATAGTCTGAAAGGAAAGAGCAGTGTTTCACAAAGTGGGTGCTGAAAGTCCTAAGGGGTGGTGGTGAGGGTGGGGCTGGAATGATGGGGGGGGGGAGCTCCAAAAATCAGATAACTACACTTTATTCTGGATTATGAGCTATAGTACAAAAAATTTTAAATTCCAGGAGGATTCTGAGTAACCCCACCACACGCACACAAAAAGGAGGCTTCAGGCCAAGGAAGTTTGGGACCCTATAGGATAGCTCTTATTAACAGAACCACTGAATTCTGCTGGAAGAATGTGAAAGGCTTCTCAACTACTTCTGATTCAAGATTCATTAAAAGTTTATTCTCAAAATATTAAAAACTTGATAAATTTTAAAGGAGAAAGCAATTAAATGAAGACAGAGCTAAACATTTATCATTAAAAATCATCTTTTCGCATCTTAAATGTTGCAGATCATTTGAGATCACAAATACCAATGTCTACAAGAAAAAGGTAACTGTAAAGAGGCCAAGAGTTTAAAAGGAAAAAAAAAGTGTGATGAAACTGGAAGCGTGTGCCCCATCTAAAACAGCAGCTGCTCCTCTGCTCCAGGTCATGCTTGCTGGGAATGAGGGACAGTAGTCCCAGACCTCTCACCTGTCAAGAAAAAGTTTTTGTAAATAATGTTTTTATCGAGGAAAATTTTAATATATAGAAAATGGGAAATATCCTAGTATTTGAATACCAGGATGAATAAGTTTTAAGCACTGAGCAAGGTGAAACCCAGCTACACATCATCCCAGACTACCAGTGTATAGCTCCTTATTTAAACACTTCCATATCCTCAAGTCTATGTGACCCATGGTTTTGAAATTTGTATCAATTTCCTACTGTTTGAAGTAGTCTGTATTTCTCCAATAAGGAAGTGACGATACTTGTATAATGGCTGGAGTAGTGGAAACATGAGAGAAAATGAATGAAAGCAATTACTAAATATATACTAAAAGTATGGTGTTAATGGGTCTGAGGTGGAATTGATTGTACATGATAAACATAATGTCACTATATTGTACATATAAAAAAAGATGAAATGCATGTTTTGTTATATATTTATGACAATTTTTTAAGATGTTTTAGATTACCTAGACAGGCTGTAGAAAGGATCCCTAACAAGTTCACAAAGATAACGAGAGCATTGGGAAAATAACGACTCGTTAAGACGCACCCGTCCAGGACTCCTGCTGCCAGACCAGAAAATTGGGAGGGAAAGAGGGACCAGACTTAAATCCGGTGTTCCAGGATGCAAGTGCAGCCTGCCAGAGGGGAGCCAGTGAAGGGGGCTGAGGGCTGGGCCCCAGTCCCAGCTACATGGGCAACTGCCCCTCCCCCCAGAAGAATCTACTTTAGAAGACAGCACTGAAGCTGCAGCTATGGGAGAGAAACATGTCTGATCAGAGCACACGGGAGCAAATGAATGTGGAAGAAGAGAGTGTGGAGCACATCCTGGCCCACCAGGCCTGGAGGATGATATCCCTGCTCCGAACAGCCAATGCACAGAGTGGACCATATGGCTGATCCCACTATGACGCTGACCCATGGCCCTACGGGGAACAGTGGAGACTCAGTGTCGGGATTGGCCCAGTCTGATCCAGGAGACCAAGACAAAGCACTAAAGGCATGAGGCAAAGCAACAGGGGGGAAGGGGAGTGGGGATCTGAGCAGGGAGCTCCTAAGGGAGTGCAAAGGATAGATTTTTGGGGCCAGAGCATGTCACCCCATCAGACTTGACTGGAGGACACGCCTAAAGGTCAAAAATCAGACCTTGATCTATTTACATACTTTTCTTTCTTTAAAATTTTTTTTTCTTTTTTTTAAATTAATTTATTCTTTTCTGGGTTATTGGTTTTCTTTTTTGTTGTCATCCTTGTGTTTTCCTTTGTCGCTTTGTCTTGCTATGCCTTGTTTTTTGATGCGTCTTATCTCGATAGAGATAAGACAGGCTGGATGAACAGTCTGGAGGAGAAAACAACGGGACTGAGGGTTCCAGGGAGGACATGGAAGAAGGGGAGGTGGGGAAAAGAAGGTGGTGTTGACCAACCCAGGCACAAAGGAGCAACAAGTGATCCAAAATTAGTGGCAAAAGAGGGTGTGAGAGGCCTGGTAGGAATTCAGCAAGGGCAATGTAATTCAGAAATTACTGAAACCCAAATGAAGGCTGAGCATGATACTAGGACAAGAGGAAAGTAAAAGGAAATAGAGGAAAGAACTAGGAGGTAAAGGGCATTTATAGAGGTCTAAATACAGGCATGTACCTATGTAAATATATTTATATAGGATGGTGGGGAAATAGCTCTATGTGCATATATTTATAGGTTTAGTATTAAGGCAGCAGATAGACATTGGACCTCTCCATTCAAGTACTTACTCAATGCAAGAACACTTTGTTCTATTAAATTGGCATTCCATGAAGCAACACCTTCCCGACATGACTGCTGAAGATGAATGTGAGCATAAGCAAATGTGGTGAAGAAAGCTGATGGTGCCCGCGGCTATCAAAAAATATAGCATCTGGGGTCTTAAAGGCTTGCAGGTAAACAAGCAGCCAACCAGCACAGAAGCAACGAAGCCCACATGGAAGAAGCACACCAGCCTGTGTGACCATGAGGTGTATAAGGGACCAGGTAACAGGCATCAAAAACAAAAAATCATATCAGTGGGTGCCCACCTTCCCGATATAATCACTGAAGACAAATGTGCGCATAAGCAAATGTGGTAAATAAAGCTGATGGTGCCCGGCTATCAAAAGATAGCGTCTGGGTCCTTGAAGGCTTGAAGATAAACAAGTGGCCATCTAGCTCAGAAGCAACAAAGCCCACATGGAAGAAGCACACCAGCCTGTGTGATCACGAGGTGTCGAAGGGATCAGGTATCAAGCATCAAAGAACAAAAAATCAAATCATTGTGAATGAGGGGGAGTGAAGATTGGGGACCCAAGACCCATCTGTAGACAACTGGACATCCCCTTAAAGAAGGGTTGTGGGGAGAAGACGAGATAGTCAGGGTGCAGGGTAGTAATGATGAAACATACAACTTCCCAAATACTTCCTCCTGCACGCCCCTCCCCACCCCCCACCCACTATCATGATCCCAATTCTACTTTACAAATCTGGCTAGACCAGAAGATGTATACTGGTACAGAAAGGAACTGGAAACACAGGGAATCCAGGACAGATGATCCCTTCGGGACCAGTGTTAAGAGTGGCAATAACAGAGGGTGTTGGGAAGGTGGGGTAGAAAGGGGGAACTGATTACAAGGATCTACATATAACCTCTTCCCTGGGGGATGGACAACAGAAAAGTGGGTAAAGCAAGTCGGACAGTGTAAAATATGACAAAATAATAATAATTTATAAACTATCAAGGGTTCATAAAGGAGGGGGGGTGGGGAGGGAGGGGGAAAATGAGGAGCTGATATCAAGGGCTCAATTAAAAAGCAAATATTTTGAGAATGATAGCAACAAATGTACAAATGTGCTTGACACAATGGATGTATCAATGGATGTATGTATGGATCGTGATAAGAGTTGTACGAGCCCGCAATAAAATGATTTTAAAAAATAACATTAAAAAAGGTTAACTACCAGCTCACAATTATTCAATCTGAACTCTCAAAGTACATTACCCTTCAACTTGTGCCAATTTGTTGTCCATGATATAGGCCAAAGGAGCTGCAAGATCTTTCTTTACATGGCCAACTTGATTTCCATTCACATTGTTAACTTTAATCGCATTCTTATCATAGGAGTTAGTCGGCTCTCGTTGTAAAGCAACCATTTCATTATTATTCACCTAAAAAAAATTAACACAAGTTATTCTTAAGTCATATTTTACTTGGGATTTCTATGTACTTTTAAATGTTTACTGCTAAATATTTTATGTATTTTCTTAGTCAAACTAAAAATTAAAAATATTTACAATTATTGTTTTCCAGTGGTTTGTTAATTTACATTCATTGGGAAGAAATTCCTTTTAACTAAAAGGTACAGTAAAATTTAAACTGTACAGTTTCACACTAAAGGTTCCAAAACTACAATTTGTAAAAAATAATCTAGAACTCACTGCCACTGAGTACATTCTGACTCACAGTGACCCTGAAAGGTAAAGCAGAACTGTCCCTCTCTGTGAAATTCCAAGACTGTCAATCTTTACAGGCTGGAAAGCCTCCTCTTTTCCCCATCGCTAATCTAACGCACTATCTTCAAGTTGACTCTGACTTACAGAGGTGACCCTTCAGGACAAGGTGGGCCCCTATGAATTTCTGAGACATTAAGGAAGCAAAAAGCCTTGTCTATCTCCCACTGGAGCGGCTAGTGGTTTCAAACTGCTGACCTTGCAGTTAGTGACCCAACTAATAAGCACAACACCGGCGTTCTTTTCCTTAGACCAATGGTTCTCAACCTTCATACTGCCACGACCCTTTAATACAGTTCTTCATGTTGTGGTGACCCCCCAACCATAAAATTATTTTCATTGCTACTTCATCATTGTCATTTTGCTACTGTTATGAATCAGGCAACCCTTGTGAAAGGGTCATTCGACCCCCACAGGGGTCACAACACACAGGTTGAGAATTGCTGCCTTAGACTAAACATGGATAAATGAAAGCCTTATGCACCCGTTCCAACTTAACTCCAAATTCAACTTAACTCTTTCACATTATCTCCTGCTTTTTGTTGTTGTTGAAACCATGTGTTTTCAGTAATGGAAGCCATTATGAATGAAATAAGGGGGGCGGGGGGGATTTCCCGGTAATAGATTCTGATAGTTATGGAGAGACATATGTCCCAAGGAGGTCTCTGGTGCTGATGTTGGTGGAATGAGGCCATATCTTCAGATTCATGCCACAATACAGGCCTTTACTGGATGGCAGCAAACACTGAAAGCAGTTCAGTTTGTCACTAAATTCCAGAGGTGGAAAATGTTAAGTGAGCACTACTGGGGTAGGGACAGAGGAATGGCATGCATCCAAAACAGTTCATGGAAAACTTTTGGTTATCTTTTAATTCTATTTTTCTACAAACTTTTTGAAGCCCCATGTGTCTGTTACAAAAGAATTAACAATACGCAGGAATAGATTTTGGGATTCCCTATATTATTCTATTACGTGTTAAATTTTTCATAATAAATTAAAACAAGGTCAATGAAAGGCACACCAGACCAATACAACAAAGAAAACTACTGATCAGAGAAAGTTAGGGGTATTCCCTCATCTGTGGGTACACACACACAAAAGACATTTTAAAAATAGACATAGGGGGAAAAGGCAGGAGTCAAAGGTAGTCTTTATTACTAGAAGAAAAAGAAAATATCTGTAGGAATAGACAACACTCCTATCTAAGAGGAGCTGATCTTCCATAGTTAAAAATATTACACTTCAGTTTGTTATAAGAGAAAATAAATGTCTTACCTACCTCAGAGATCAATCCAGACAAAAGTGTTTTATATATTGTAAGCATAAGAATATTAAGTCATTTAAGATGAAAATGGAGCAATCACTGAAGACAAGTGGGTGCATAAGCAAATGTGGTGAAGAAAGCTGATGGTGCTCAGCTATCAAAAGATATAGCGTCTGGGTCTTAAACAAGTGGTAAACAAGTGGCCGTCTACCTGAGAAGCAACAAAGCCCACATGCAAGAAGCACACCAACCTGTGTGATCACGAGGGGTTTATAGGATCAGATATCAGGCATCAAAGAACAAAAAATTCTTATCATTGTGAATGAAGGGGGGTGCGGAGTGGAGAACCAAAGCCCATCTGTAGGCAACTGGACATCCCCTTATGGAAGGGTCTCAGGGAGGAGACAAGCCAGTCGGTGCAGTATAACACCGATGAAACATACAACCTTCCTCTAGTTCTTTAATGTTTTCCCCCACTACCACTACCATGATCCCAATTCCACATGACAAATCTGGCTAGAGCAGATTTTGTACACAGGTACAGATAAGAGCTGGAAACACAGGGAATCCAGGACAGATAAACCCCTCAGGACCAATAATGAGAGTGGCAATACCACAGGAGGGGAAGGGGAAGGTGGGGTAGAAAGGGGGAACCAATCATAATGATCTACATATAACCCCCTCCCTGGGGGGTGGACAACAGAAAAGCGGGTGAAGGGAAACATCAGACAGTGTAAAATAAGAAAAAATAATACTAATTTATAAATTATCAAGCGGGAGGGAGGGAGGGTGAGGAATGGAAGGAGGGGAAAAAAACATGAGGAGCTGATACCAAGGGCTCAAGTAGAAAGAAAATGTTTTGAGAATGAAGATGGCAACAAATGTACAAATGTGCTGGAGACAATGGATAGATGTATAGATTGTAGTAAGAGTTGTATGAGCCCCCAATAAAATGATTTTTTTTTAAAGATCAAAACGGGGCATTTACACAGGACAAAATTCAGAGAGTTATAGGAAAGAGAAACAGGAAAGAGTAACTAATGATGCGCTAATAAGAATGCAATGGATAAGTTAAATTAAAATGGGTATGAACTGTACAGTGTAAGACTGATGATCTGCTCTGTAAACCTTCAGCTAATTCACAATTAAAAAGGGGTTTTTTGTTTTAAAATAAAGAATATTAAGTCAAAGCAGTTCAGGTAAGTCTCTCCCTCAGTTGGATTTACTCAATTAAAACAAATATAAGTATTAGCTGCACATATTATAGAATCTTTTATATTCTAGGTTAACGCCATAAATACATCATCACAATTTCACTAAATAACTACTGCCATACTTACCACTCCTGTGTAATAACGTAGTCCAACCACATGACCTCTTAAAGTTCCAAATAAAACAGAATCTAGCTCTTCATCACTAGTTATAAAGTCGTCTGGAGGGATGATATCTTGGAATTCGTAACGAGGAAAGAAAGTAGGATATGAAAGGCGTGAAAAATTTCCAGGGGCTCCATACTGGGCAGTCTGCAAGTACTTCCAAACAGGATCTCTATTAAAACAAAAACAAAAAACAAAGTCACTATAAACAAGACTATTCAGCCACGCACTTTTCCAAGAGCAGATTAGTATTTAATAGGTCATCGTTCTCACACCCTAATCATATAGCAAATGAAAGCTGGCAGTGAGCACTTTCTAGAGGCTGTTCTGGTCTTAGGAGGAACTGGGGTTGGGGAGCTTTCTTTCTTTCTTTGTTAAATCGTACAACTGCTATCACAATCCATAAATCATATGTTGTACATATGTTGTTGCCTTCATTCTTTTCTAGACATTTACTTTTTGAGCCCTTGGTATCAGCGTTTTCCCCCTCCCTCTCTCCCCTCCCCTCATAACCCCGATAGATTGTACATTATTATTTTCTTCTCTCACACTGAATGTCTCCTTTCCCCCATGTTTTGTTGTTCTTCTCCCTGGAGAGGGGTGTATAGTTGTGTCCATCATTGCAACCAGTTCCCCCTTTCTCTCTTCCTCTTCCCCCTACCCTTCTGGTATCACTATTCCCACGCCTGGATTCTGTGTGTGGTGAGCTCGCATCCCTTTCCATACCTGTGTACACATTCCAGTCTACTCTGAATTGAGCAGCAACACTGGGGTCAGAGTAGTGGGGGTGAGGAAGCCTCAAGGAACTAGAGGAA